GCACTTCAAGGATGCTTCCTCTAAATTGATTTTGACTTGAGCAGAGTCAAACTCTGGTAGAAGAGAATCACTCCATGCTTTGGTCTTGGCAGGTGGATGAAAGTATCAAGTAAAAAACCAGGTGCTTACCTTAAAAGGTATTTAATTTTAAACTGTTGGCCCTGTGAAATGCCATGTTCAAGTGTCTGCACTTGGTGCTGGAGGTGTTCAGCTGCTCAAGTGCTTGAGCTGGGAGGATGTTTGCACTAGCAGTGCACATCCCCAGCTTCTCCATGGGTTTTGTGCTATGAGCATAAAAAATAGTGCAGGCTTTCTGCTCCTCAGTTATTCTCCAGTTATTTTGACTCAAGATGAGTTTCTGCAGTCTAATTGAGATCAAGTTCTTCAATGCTTTAGGAATATGTATTCAATGTTTTGTTTTCCTCTTCATTTTTCATATTTAAACATTTTAGAGGGATTTTTCCCTCTGTGTTCATCTGTCTTGGTGAAACTGGAGGTTTGTGTGATAGTAACCATTGATTTCTTCAGCTGAAAGAAGTCCTTTCTTGATCCCCCTCACTACCCCTACGCTTCTCTCCTTGTTTTTCATGGCTCACTTGCTACTGTCTAGTGTCAGGCTGTCTTCCATCTACAGTGGAGTTGTGCCTTCCACGTACTCATACTCTAGATGTCTGTCTCAGTTGGTATTCCTGAAAAATGATTTATTTCTAGTTTCTGGCTACAAAGGAAACCAAAATTTGGTCTCATTTCCATGGGCTTGGCCTTCAGTCCCAGACTAGAACACTAAGCAGGGTGCAGAATACCCAGGGTTTTCTGCAGCTGGGGAAGATGCACCTATGGACATGCCTACTGAGAAAGCTGTGCATGTTGTCAGTGTCAGAGAAGTAGTTCATGTGAAAACAAAGCTGCGAGAAGTCTGGTCCAGAGGGAGATTCCTGTCCCATGGTTTTGCAGGAGACCCTTCATCTTCTGTGCCTGACGTTCAGAGATGCCACAGGCACGGTCAGATCTCAGTGAAGCTTGGCAACATCCTAGCCTGATGCCCTGGAGAGAATCTGCAAACATAGAAAGCGTGCTCCTGAAGGACCCAGAAGGCAGAGGAATGAACACAAAAAGCATTCCCCTGTGCCATACCCACTGCCTAATCTGAATTCTGCGACTTGGCTTCCCCAGCCACGCTACGACATGCCTTGGTGACTTCTGACACGCTGTGACATCTCTTGGTATGAACAGCTGCCGAGTTGTTGGTTTGACCACCTCTGCAGCATGCAAGAGGTTTATAGGATAGTCACTGTTTGTTCTGCGAAGAGATATAAATCATGTTATCTCATCATCTTCAGGAAAACATAACTTTCTCTTCCTCGTGTTCAGTTTCAAAACAGCAATGGCAGCCCTTGTTATCCCATACCTGGAAAGCACAATTTGCATATCCTGATTTTTTTTTTTTTAGGATGCTTACTTTCAGACTGCTATCAAATCCTCTCCAAAGACACTTCTTTGTTCCATGCCTCACTATTAACACACCCTGGGACTGTCAGCAGCAGCCAAAGCTCCTTTTGGTTGGGCTTTTGAGGGTCTTGAGAATCTCTTCACAGTCCTTGGTGCAGTGTTGACCCTCATGAAGAGGTACCTTATAGCAGGGTTGGGTTTTTTTAGAGTACCTGCTGTGCATAATGATAGAGTACCACTGTCTTTGCCTGGATACGCATGCACACATGGCTTGTGGATCATTTATCCCTGTGACTGATCTCAGCAAGGCAGCTCTTCTCTCACTTGGGTTTCTGCCATGCAAATCTGCAAGGGTGTACCATTTTTCTCTCCCCAGACATTTTCATCACTGGGACAGATGCTTATGTGAGGATAGAGAGCGCACAACCACAGTCATCAGGAGGGGTGTCACTCCTATTTTGAAGGGATATTCTTGCATACCAAGAGGTCCTGGAGCTCAGGGTGATAGATTTTTCCTTATTAGGGGATTTTTGTTCCACAGCTGGACATCACATCCAGAGTCAGAGGATGAACAGACATCCCGATAGTTATATAAATTTAAAAAGAGGGGAGAAAATCTCACTCCACCTCAGTAAGAGGGAGGATAGGTCTGTAGAACTGGTGTACTGATCCTCAGGCAGACTTTTTAAACAGTGCATCCCAAGGGATTTCAAAACAGAATGCCAAGGTGGAGCACCCAGCTTTGTTTTGACCCAGGTGACTCTTGTTAACTTTTGCAGGAAAGTGACTTTTCCTGGTTGGTAAGATAGACACCCTGGAAGTGTTATCCAAACTTCTGCAAACTACTGCACTGCAGTGCATGGTGCCTTTGAAATGTTCTGCAGCCACTGTTTTTCAGTGATTGAGTCTTTCTGCTGCTGCTTTGGACTTTGCTCTGGAGTGTGCACATGGACAGGCACTCAAAAGCAAAGCCGTGAATGTGTTGGTAAACGAAAGTCACTAAGAGATGCAAAATAAAATGTAAATATGTCAATTAAAATTGCAAAATTTATGATCTTCCTGGCAAATTGGTGGATTCTCTGAAAAGCATTGTCCATATGCGTGTTCTGGATCCTGCCAGTTCCCTAAAATCTCCTGATATTTTGTGGTCCAAGGAAAACTGAGAAGCAAGAACAAACACACGCTTTTTTTTTCTTATTATCATTCTGGGTGCTAGGTAGAAAGGTGGGGTGTATAGTCCAAGTGCTGAGCTTGAAGGCAATGTGTATGTTAACAACATATCTCAGAGAGGTAAGTTACTCTGTTGTCAAGAGACAAGGAAGTACAGCCCTACTGAAGGTTACTGGTAGTTTCATGTGGTGCTTGTGTTAACGGTAGACGAAATTTTTCAGGTTCCCTTTTGAAGGCATTACTAAATGCAGAGAAATAGTGTTGGATATTTCATTTGCTGTTCCTCAGTGCTTGCATGTCTTGTAGTTGGTTTTGATGTGTACTTCAACATACGTGTTTTTTAAGGACACCATAAGAGTAAAAGTTAGGAATTTGTTCTTCCCAAGTGAGAAGATTCATGCAGGGTAGGGAAAACCTACTTCTTTCTGTATATTCTTTCCAATAGAGAGGCTGGACTTGGTTCCAGAAAGAGTTTGAGGACCACTTCTCCCCAAACTGCTGTTCTTCCAGTGGTAATAAGTGACTCGGCCACAGGCCCCTCCGTCTCTTCCTCTGCATGCTTTGGACATTAAGCACAACGTTCTCCAAAAGCATCAAGCTTCCAGCCCTCTTCTGTCAGCTTCCCCAAGAACATACTCTGAGAAGGATTTTACAGAATGCAGATGGAATAGCTCTTAAGAACCTGCTAGACAATGCATAAAAAGTCTACATTGGTCATGGAACTGAGGATGGAGGAGATTGCAGAGACAACTGCAACGAGATCCCTTGCCTTTGCCACTAGACTACGTGCCTGTCTCAGGACATCACAGTCTCTGTTGCATTGTCTCCGAGTCTGAAAAAGGAAGTTTTGCTGGGAATTTCCTTTTCTTCTCCAGTTCTAAATTGAGATTTCTGGACAAGGACTCATCTCTGTGCCTGGGATATTTATGAAAACATGTTCATTGAGTTCTCACTAGATTGCTTCTTGCTCTGGCCAATTGTTACCCTAAGCTGACATGTCTGCTCTTCAAAGTTCCTTTCCTGTTCGTGATTTTGTCAGTGTAAAAGAGCAATATAGTTCTAGTAATTTTTTGTGAATTAGTTGTTTACTATAACAGAAGGGGTAATCCTTTTGGGTAATCCTGTTGTTTCTTACAGACCTCATTCAGTTTGTTATCGGACTATGTCAGGTCTATCTGCCTTGGCAAAGAAATGAAAAATACTACAGGAGAAAAGTCATGACAGCTAGCCTAACATGGCAGGTTTGTGCTGTAGCAGAGTTAAAATATGAAATTGTGATGGCTCAGGCTTTCTCAGAATGTTTTTAGAAGAGTATAAAAAATTCATTTGAGTGGCTTAAATTAGGGGATAGGTTAGGGCTCTGCTTGTTATGGAAAAAACAAAAAAAAAACACCAAAACCAAAACAACCCCTCTGGGTGTTTTCCATGACTTTGGACTTTTTAGCAAGACCAATGAGAGTTAAGGAACGCTTATTTTGTGACAGGGCTATTGCCGTTGTCAGCTCTCCAAATGTTGCGTATCCCACATTAGATGGGACCTAAGCAACAGATTTCCAAACTTAGGTGAAATCTGAATTACTAGTAATACAGCTGTGTAACTGCTTTGCTCATGCAAGCTCCAAGCCTTAGATGAGAGATTCTGATTTGCATTGTAACATGCCTGCTCTGCTTAATCCGGACAATCAGGCAGCGTGTCATGAGGTTGGTCCCAGAGCTCAGTCAGTTCCAAATCTGGAAAACACAATAACTGCACAAAAAACGCTAGAGCTCTTAGTGGCTTTTGAAAGAGCTAGACTCTGTTCTGTGCCAGAAATTACTCATTCAGAGACTTTCTCATTGAACTGCGTTTCCAGCTCCTAGATATTTCTGAAAGGAAAGAAATGCAATGGAGCCTTCTAGTAATGGAGACTTGAAAGCCTCTGTGTTACTGCAGAGTACAGTCAAAACCAGGGATCTCGCTGTACAGACACAGGAGAGAGATGATAGAAGTGAAATTGCTCTTTTTCTAGAGATGAGGGTGCACGGGGCAGCCACCTAGTTATCACACCAACCTGCAATATTTCAGGATGCATTGCCCTGCCCCCCCTGGTTTTTGTTTTCAGCTAAGGAAATATTTTGGAAACCTACCATCCCAAAATGAGGGTGGGAGGAGAATGATGTGAAATGTCCTCAGAGTTGGTCTCCAAACTGCTGCTTGTCCTGGTCAGATTAATCCTAAACGTAAAAACTTTTCAAGGTAAGAAGTAATATGGATTTAGGTATAATGGAGCTCTAGATTTTAACCTGTATGTAAATGACCCTTCTCTCTCTCTCTCTCTGTTTGAAGAGGCTTTTTTTTCCTCTTACCCATGTAAATTAAATGTTGTTCCTTTTTGCTGCAGCTATTCATAGTCTAAAGTTGAGTCGCAACCATGTGGACTGGCACAGTGTGGATGAAGTGTATCTTTACAGTGATGCAACAACATCTAAAATTGCAAGAACTGTTACACAAAAGTTGGGGTTTTCCAAAGGTAATATTTCTCTGAGTTTGTAAAGAATATTGTAAATACCAGTATTTTAAGTTTGTTACTCTAACGCTAGAGGGAGATTTCAAGTTTGAAGTTTTAATATGTGACTAGCCCACTTTGGCCATTGCAGTTTTTACAGAAGAGTATATTAGGGTCCTTAGGTTGTGTACGTAATTGTAACTAGATGTGAATAGGCTGTGACTTATTTTTGTTACATATTTTATTATTATTTTGGATGCAGCAGTTAGCATTACATAATAAGTATATGAAAATATTACAATGGCAGAGTCTAGCAGCTACAATATAAGAATTACAGTTCCCTTTGAAACCTTAACTTTACCACTGTGTACTTGCATACTGTGATGCATTCCTTAAATACATGATCATACCTTCCCCTCTCACCACCTCTTGCCTTTTTTTTCCATTCATTAAACAGATGTATGAACTGAGAGGAGGGGTGAAGCATTTAGACAGAAATTGTTTCCAGTAGGAATCTGGGCTCATGTAAGCTCAAACCTACCAGTTTTAAAGCCAGCGAGGCTGAGATGGTTGAAAGAGAGGATGGTCTCTCTCAAGCAAAAGGCAGATTATTGCCAACCTAGAAAACTGGAACTTGTCCTCTCTGTTGTGGTGCTCCTATGCACTGCTGGACACCTCCAAAAACAAGAACATACACATCTGTTTTGTTCCTTGGTCTCTGAAGAGACAAGATCAGGTAATAGGTTTGGCTTTAATCTCCATGCCTCTGTTCTGTAATTAATGCCCTTTTACCCCACAGGGCTCTTGGGTGGATACGTAACTAATCTTTGCCAAAAACTAATATAATTCAATGCTTCAGTTCCAGAAGAAATTAAGTATTCTTTATCCAGAACATGATTTGGATAGTGTGTAATAAATAATAAGTAAGATCTCTCCTAAACAATTTGGGGAGAGAAATATCAAATAGAAGCCCACTTGGTAAACAAAACCTGTCCTGTGTAAAAACTGCCCTTAGCGTTTTTGTAGCGTTTTCCTCCTCTTTAAAAACAAAACAAGTTGTTTGCTTCCGTTTTTGTGGCGGGGAAAGATGCTGCCATCCTCTTACGTGGCCATCTGAAGGGGTTGCTGGACTCGTGCGCAGGTAGCACTCGTGCAAGGCTGTGGTCCTCTATATGGTCTGTCACTAGAGGGGGATGGAGACACGCTGTGCCACTGGGCTTCTCAAGCCATCAGTGGGGCACTGGGAGGACATCCATATTTGCCCTGGGTAATTGATTTTTTGATTTGGCCACTGAGCTGGTGAACGGGTGGGGAAATTTGAGGTTGGATCAGCTTGAAATAAAACGGTTTTCCCCGTCAAAATGAAAAACTGTAAAGCTTTTCAATCAGCTCTCTTAATTGGGTCAGAGAAGGAATGACAACGCTTATCAGTTTTGTGGCCAGATCATTTCCATGATCCTCCCATGCTGTGGAAGTAAGGTGGAGATAGAAAGAAGTTTAATGATTGAGACACACAGAAGGGTGTTGTGTTGTAAAAGTGGATGGACAATTATACAACTGTTTTCTAAAAAGTTGTTTTTCAAAACATTTCTGAAATTAGTTATCTTCACGGTGGAAATGGCCGGGTAATACATTGACTGATACAATTAATGTCACCTACTTTCTCAGCTCTCTCAGGAGTTTAAAATTGCACATATTTAAAAATACATGCTATTCCTTTGTGTATAATCTTATTTTCAAAATACTTTAATGTATTGGTCTGAGAAAAGCCAAGCTTCTGTCAACATATAAGACCACTGCACTTCATAGAATGTAACTGATCTAGGATAATGTTTTTTCTACAGCTTCAAGTAGTGGGACAAGGCTACATAGAGGCTATGTAGAAGAAGCTACGTTAGAAGACAAGCCACCACAAACTAGTCACATTGTATTTGTTGTGCATGGTATTGGGCAGAAAATGGACCAAGGAAGGATCATCAAAAATACAGCTATGTGAGTGCTTTGTAATATTTGCAGTACCAACTCTAGCCTGAATATAAGGCTGATATTATAAATGACAGCAGACCCTTTGGTTTAAGCTGTATCTTTTCCTGTTTCCTTCTCCTCCTCCTCTTCCCCTGAGTCATTAGTCTTTATATTGTGGATACACTACTTTCTATGTTAATTTGGATGTATGGACTTAGTGAGAGCAGCTGCAAGCCAGAAGGGCAAAGATACATTCTATTTTCATGACCAACGCTTGCAACTTTTAGAGGACTGGCCCATGAATTTCTAGCACCTGTGGTCAGTGACTTTGCTGAGTGCGGAGAGATTTTTCGTTTGGTCAAAATCAAGAGAATCTCCATTGTTCCTGCTGGTTGTCAGAATAGTGGGCAAGTGAAGTGCATACTGGTAAGAGAGGGGAAACGGGGAGCTAGTAGGAATGTTGGCATTCCTAACAGGATAGAGTTACTTCATGCCGTTGGAAGTTATTGCTGTGAGACTGCTCGTGGAGTTCGGTGCATAGATGCCAGTTGGAAAGTAAAACGTGATTGAAAGCTTACCGGATCTTTTCATTGAATGTCTTTTGTGAAAACTAGGTTGCAAATGACTTTTGATTTGATGTCTGAACTAACTCAGAAGGCCAATTAGGGTGCTGGTGAATGGGAAGAGAAACTCCTGAGCTGTTGAGAATGCTGTACCTGAAAAGGTTTTTGAATGTTAGGAGAAATTGTAAAGTCGTGATGACAGCATTGTGGGGAACAAGGTGGTGTTAAGGAATGTTTCATCAGCTGAAAGAAGAGGCTGAAAAAGTGTTAATTGCAGATCTGTATTGCGCAGATGGTTTAGTATGTGTGTCCCAAATAGTTCCGCGTTCCATCAAAGTTGACAGAAATAGTGACATACCCAGTGACTCCTGTGAAAGTGTGTGTAGAGCTGGGATTGCTGATTTCGTGTGGCAAGAGCTTTGTGAACCTCCCTTTAAATCCAGAATGGTAATGTAGGTCAGTGCTTATGTGCCGTCGCTGTGGTGTGTACCATCATGTCAGCAGACTCTTGTGTTCGTTCAGCTCGCTGTTCCACTCTAGTGTCCTCTGGTGTGGTAGAGTAGACCTCTTGATTTCACTGCCAAGTCATTTGTCGTCTCAAAGCAACAACCTGCTACTCCTGACTCCCCTTGTTCTGGCACTTCTCTGCTCTTTTATTCGTGTTGTTTAAGAGCAAGCAATCAAAGCCAAAGAGAAAAAGATCCTCAGCCCTTGACAAAAAGCTGAAGTTGGTCACCAAAATAAATGTGAAACCTTAAATTTTTGTAGGATGCAATTACACTGGAAATGCAAATACCCTAAATATAAGTTGCTGTTTTAACAGTGACAAGAAATAAAACTTCCACCTTGGAATCATTAAGGTTTCCTGCTTTTTCTTTTTCCCTACCTCACTTTCCATTGAACATATGTACAGGGGTTGTATGGGTGGATTAACTTCAGCTCAGGACACAGTGCATAGGTGTTCATTCCATAAGAAGTCCTGTTTTAACTGGCACCCCATTATGTGAAATCTTTTATCTAAAAGGCAAACAAGACTTTTTGTGCTTCAGTAAATCTTGCTCATATCCTCAAGAAATATCCAACAGTATTGCATAGCCTTTTAAAATGCTAATTATTGGCATAAATTGTGTATTCTGTATAAAATCTGCAAAGGAAAGCATCATTTTAGATTGAAGTCTCTCTCTTTTTTTCTTTTTTTTTTTAAATAGCTTAAAACTTACCAGTGAGGAACACCCCATATGTTCTAGGAAGAGATTTTAGAAGAAACGTCTGCCAGGCCAGCACAATAGCAGCTCTTACAAGCCGTACTAGCACTTTCTGTTAGCACCTTCATTCGTGATATATGTGTGGGGGTTTCGTTTTGGGTTTTTTTTCATTCTTTTTGCATTAGGGACTGAGGAGTCAAATGTTGCCTTTTGAAAAATGGTAAGATGGATAAGGAGAAATATTTTTTGACCATTCACACTATAAAGTAGAAGCTACGGAGAAAAGACTTCAGTGGTTTTTGCCTTTTAAATGCACATTCTTTAGTAGGAAACCTGTAGTTGCAGCCATGCTAAATCTGTAACTTAAGCCATAGGTCTGCCCACCAGTGTCACAACTCCTTTCTTCCCTCATCAATATCTGGGTACCACCAGCAGATGTAGAAGGCACTGTCAGCCCTCAAGAGCTCATCATGGTCTTGGGCTGCGTGCAGCTTTGAAGGACTTGGATGTCACTTTTGATATAGATGTGCTGGTGTGGGAACCTTGGGGTAGGTGGGGGGTGTGTCCCTTAGAAACAGAAATTTTCTTTTGGTTTAGGCTCCAGGACATCTGGCAGGACACATTGCTCTGCAGAGTGCCACCAGTCCTGTCTGTGGGCTCTGGGACATGGATGGGGAGAGAACAGAGACAAGGCAGGTTGGGCGACGCAAACTCCCTGACACCTTGCATTTTTTTGGTATGGTGCTTGGAGGGACTCTGGGATATGCAGAAGGGAATACTTGTTCAGGTTCCTTCCCTTTCTACCATACACAAAAAAAAATCTCTTGTGCATTTTGTCTTTGCCATGTACATTTATTGTTGCTTCTTTTTGGGTTCATTCGACCCTGGGATAAAACATTTGTATTTATTTCAACCTGTGTGAGAGCAACACTTCACTTCATAGCACAAAAGCATAGCCTCACTTGAACAAGTGGTCCTAAAAGAAATAAAAAGAAAGAAAAGCGCAAAAATAAAGCTTATAACCCAGACATGGAATACTCTGTCTGTAACCCAGAGCTCATTTGATATGCTCTGTCCTCAGGTTACTACCTTGAGAAGAAATTGATGCAGCTCACGTGATGCATCTGCATCATTAGGCAGATCCTGTTGGTTACAGAGGTGAAAACAGAACTCTCCTTCCAGGGTATTAAAATTATATGCACTAATTTCATTAAGGAATGGAGTTCAGTCTAATCATTAATGTGGTTAGATGCTATAGTCACAGGGTGTCCTGTAAGTAGGTAAATAGAAAAGATGCATTTTATCGATGCTTGAATGAACAGGTCTTTGGTAGATGTGACATGATTTTGTTTCTTCACAGTGTAGTTAAACACATTTATTATCTAAATGTAGCACGGCAGCTGGTACAACAAGCTGCTCCTGTCAGTGCTGATAATAACTGCAGAATTCGTCTGGGAAGAGACTGTACCTCCTCCAGGCTGGAAGAGTGATTCAGCTGACCTAATGTGAATAGCATAATGTGCTGTGAGCTGCTTCGGTAGCATAGGGATGATTATTTAAGGAAGAAGATAGTATAGTCTGTATTTCTGTGTAATATAAACTAAGATATTATGGCATAATGTACTTAATTGGAGGGGTTTTTATTTGCCATCAGGTGCAGCATTCGGGCGTTGCTAGGTTTCTGATAAGGTACGATGTTAACTTAAAAAATCATTTGGGGATATCCTTTTATTTTACTGTACACAGTTTCATATTGTTACTTGGAATATTTTTTCAATAAAGCCTAATCTCTGATTTTGTTGAACTTGTGCTCCTAGGTTGGTGGGGGTAGGTGTGTCCTTACACATATTAAATAGTATTTAGGAATGTTACTCGACATGTTTCAAACCTCCTTTAAAAAAATCCTGTGGTTTTACCTGACTTAGGTAAAGGTCAGACCTTTAGGCTGACCCTCTAAATTTCATCACTCCTGTGCTTGAAAATCGAATGAAGTAACTGTTCTGTGTATTTCCATAATAGCTGTAATGTTGTGACACTTCTTGGCTGCTCTTACCCTAAAGCTGGTATCTGTCTGCCTCTGTCTGAATCTCCTGTTTTGATTCAAAAATTATATTTGATATTTGCCTGTGCTGCTGCTTGTAGCACAAAAATTGCTGTCTGCACAAGCAACATCATCTTGGCATTCCATAATCACCAATTAAATTTTTATTGCATGTCCCATTAGAAAGCATTTTAATTGTGGATTATCATTACAATAATTACTTCAGAATAGCTATTTTGGTAAATTTCTAGTGGTATGCAAGCCCTTACAGAGTGCAGAGCCTCTCAGAGGCCTTTCAGTGCATTAAATATGCGCTGCTGGAATCTTAAATCAAGACTTCCTGTAAAATTTTTCCTTTGATTTTTTAGCTTTTCAGATATTTGGTAGTTTTTCTATTTTCCATTTAAATGCCTGCATTGCGTTAAATGCATATTACGTGCCTGTTTTCCATTCTTCAGTGCTGAAATTAATTAGAAATTAGAATTACAGTGCTGTAATTCTGAAATTAAGTATCCAAATGGTAAAAATTGTCTTACACGTTTCAACTTGAGCTTGTCTTGCAAGCTAAATGAGAAGTTCAGCCCAAGAGGTAAAAGGTGATAGTTAGGGCATTAAATAGTTTCATAACAGCTTGTTTTGTCTACATTTATTAATTATCTAACACATGACTGCATATTGGACGGAAGCTGTAACAGCCTATTTAGGACGTAATGTATCTTTGGGTCTGTTCTTGCTCCTGTCCTCCCCCCAGCCCTCATTCCTGCCTGGTGCTGCCCTTTCCCTGCCCACACCCCACAACTGTCTGTATGGTCCCGTTGTAAAGCGGATCGCTGCAGTTGGTCCAAAAAACTGGAACCCTGTCTGGAAAATGGGAGCGAGTGGCAAGGACGCAGGGGATGACAACGGGGATGGGGGATGCCTCATCTGCTTTATGCCGAAGCCAGCGTCTCCCTGAAGGGCAGGCTTGCCCGCCGTTTGGAAAGCAGTGCTGGGGAGGGAGGCACTCGCGCTTGGAGCACGTGGATCTCCGCAGGCTTGTCTCGGGGATCCCATAGTCAACGAACTCAGCAGCTTGAGTTCCTCTGATCGCGCAGAGTCCCGTTATTCTTGAACAGGATGAAGCGTGAATCACGATCATGCTTACTTTGATTGCATGCTAGAATTTCCACCTATCTTCCGAAGCAGAATGAGTCTGCGTATGTCCTAAGAGCAGCGGTC